AGGGGGAAGGGGAGGGGGAGGGGGAGAGGGAGAGAGAGAATTTGAATCATCCATGAGAGAAACATCAACATCTATAGGCTGCCTTCTGCACAACCCCTACTGGGTATTGAACCCAAAACTTAGGCATGTGCCCTGACCAGGAATCAAACCCAAGATCTCCTGGTGGATAGGTCCACGCTCAGCCATTGAGCCACACAAGCTGGGCTAGTTTTCATTTTCTGACAGCAGCAAACATATAATTTTATATGAAAAGACTTCTCCCCCCAACAATCAGAACTGAAGTCAAACAACTATTTAGAGAAGGATCCAGATAGTAATATCTGGATCCTTCTCTAAATCACTCTCAGAGAGTCAGAGAATACTAAGGTATAAAATAATATATAAAATTTTAAAAATTTTATAAAATAATTTTTATATAAAATAAGTCAACGTATTTTTGTATAAAATAAAATAGTTAACGTGAAGAAAATATTATTAGCCTCATTTCACTTATTTTTACAGATGAAAAAAGGAGGAGTGGAGAGGTTAAAAGTCGTTTAAGTCAGTAAGGAAGTAGCAGAGCCAGATTAAAGTTCAAGGCCCACCAACTCCAGAACTCTTGCCCTATGTAAGCATAACATGACACTAGTTATTCAGAAGACCCACTCTATCTAAATCAGTTCACAACCAAATACTAGTACTTCAGAAATGATAGAGTAAAAGATTAGTGATTAGCATTTGTGGATTATAATGAACAACATAAACTGATGAACAAAAACAGATCCAGAGACAGAGAAGCATAGATCAGACCATCAAACCTCTGAGGGAAGGTAGGGGAGGGTGGGGGTAAGGAGGAGAGATCAACCAAAGGACTTGTATGCATGCCTATAAGCATAACCCATGGACACAGACAACAGGGGGGTGAGGGCATGAACTGGAGTGGGAGGGGTGGGGTGGGGTAATGGGAGGATAAGGACACATATGTAATACCTTAATCAATAAAGAAAAAAAAAGATTAGTGATTACTGATGACATTTCTTTTAGGTATTAAAATAATACAGTCCAGGTATTTTGATAACTACTGCAGGAAGAATCACCTTAAGGTAAGTTAAATTTTCGTAGTCCTAGAAGCCACGTTATAGAAATACTAATTTGTCTGGTCAGGCCAGAAGTCTAGGAGTCTACATTGTATCTGGTATGCCAAATTATGATGGTTATTCTTGGACCACACTGAGAAATACTGTTCTACATGAGAAGATAGCTATTATTGTGTTTAGACTAGATTCTCAAATAGCACTACTCTGAGAGACAGATCACTTAATTTGAGTCCTCATAGTGTTATTTAACCAGTGACCCTGTGTTCTCTCATCTATGAAATGGAATTAATATTTAATATTTAATTAAGTTTGCTGTGAGGAATAAATGAGCAAAGGGAAAATATAAAAATGTAACTAAATTTTTAAAAAAAGAGTAATGAATATGAACTCTTACAACATATTAGAACATACTATTAGGTTGAACCATATAAAGATGCTACTACTTGGTTATTTTTTTTTTGTATTTCTGCTTTATTTTTTAATTTAAAAAAATTTCAATTACAGTTTACATACAATATTACTTTGTACTAGTTTCACAATTATGTACTTTACAAAGTATTCCCCCCTCATATTTCCAGGACCTACTTTGCACCAAAGATAGTTATTACATTATTGACTATATCCCCTGTGCTTCTACTTGGTCATTTTTGAACCACAAAAACAGCAATTTCATATTACTTATTCAAAGAGAAAATAATAGTGAATCTTTACATTTGTATGATATTAGTGCAGGAATTTGCAAACCAATGGTGTATAGAAGAGCACATTTGTGAAACAGGTCCAAGTGTATATGGAAATTTAGTTTACCAGAGTGGTATTTCTTTTTTTTTCTTTTTTTAAATATATTTTATTGATTTTACACAGAGGGGAATTGAGAGGGACAGAGAGTTAGAAACATCCACCAGCTGCCTCTTGTACACACCCTACTGGGGATGTGCCCGCAACCAAGGTACATGCCCTTGACCGGAATCGAACCTGGGACCCTTCAATCTGCAGGCCGATGCTCTACCACTGAGCCAAATCGGTCCCGACCAGAGTGGTATTTCAAATAAAAAATGAATTGATCTATAAATAGATCATTGTGATAACTGCCTATCTCTTGGGAAAAAAAAGGAAAGTTAAATCCTGCCTCCACATTATACCCCAAAATTACCAGTATATGGGTCAAAGCTCTAAATGTTAAAAAAAAAAAAAAAAAAAAAAGAAAAAAGAAATTGTAACAGTATTTGGAGAAATTGGAGGAATATATTCTTATAATCTTAAGTAGGAAGCTCATTTGTAAATAAGACATAAAATCCAACATTAAAAATAATAAAATACAAACTGAACATCAAAATTTTAAAAATTACTATCAGCCCCAGCCAGTTTGGCTCAATGGATAGAGTGTCGGCCCTCAGAAAGAAGGGTCCCAAGTTGTATTCTAGACAAGGGCACATACCTTGGCTGCAGGCTCCATCCCGGCCCAGGTCAGTGAGCATGCAAGAGGCAACCAATCGATGTTTCTCTCTGTCTCTCTCTTTCCCTTCCACTCTCTCTAAAAATCAATGAAAAAATATCCTAGGGTATGCCCCGCTGACGTGGCTCAGTAGTTGAAAATCGACCTATGAACTAGGGCAGTGGTCAGGAAACTCATTAGTCAACAGAGCCAAATATCAACAGTACAACGATTGAAATTTCTTTTGAGAGCCAAATTTTTTAAACTTAAACTTCTTCTAACGCCACTTCTTCAAAATAGACTCGCTCAGGCAGTGGTATTTTGTGGAAGAGCCACACTCAAGGGGCCAAAGAGCCATATGTGGCTTGCGAGCCACAGTTTGCAGACCACGGAACTAGGGGGTCACAGTTCAATTCCCAGTCAGAGCACATGCTGGGTTTGCAGGCTCCATCCCCAGTGTGGGGTGTGTAGGAAGGAGCTGATCAATGATTCTCTCTCATCATTGATGTTTCTATCTCTCTCTCCCTCTCCTTTCCTTTCTGAAATAAAAAAATATTTTTTTCAATAAATAAAAATATACTTAAAAAATAAAAAATATTCTTGGGTGAGGATTAACAACAAAAAACTATTATAAAGACAAGCAGGAGCCTGGCAAAAATATTTGTACATATAAAAAAAGACAAGCTTAACATCCATAACACATAAAGCAACCCAATAAATAAAAAGAGAGAGAACAGAGCAAGTAAAGTATATAAGCAAATAATTCATAGAACAAAAAATACAATCATTAAATGTGTGAAAGGCTGCTCAATCTTACTAGCAGGCAAGAAAATGCAAATTCAATTAGAACTGTAAGACCTTTGGCAAAACATTACTAGAGCCCACCTCCACCCTGGCAGATGCCTAGTAGCATCAGAGCCATCTTACCTTTGACTCATAGTAACGATTAACTCCAGAGACACGCTTATCTCTTTCCATCAAAGACCAGTGATATGAATAATAGGCAACCCTTTTTTCCTATAATTCAAAGAAATAATTATTACAACTTTAAGATGAGTGACCCAATAGAGGAATATTAGAACTTTGGTGACATTCTAGAATAATGGAATCATTACTGAAACAAAAAACAAATTAATAGTATAAGACTAAAACCTTAAATAAAATAGGACCACAGTTCTGGTCAGTGGAGTGTGGGCCAGAGCTACAAAGAGTCCCATCCATGTTCAATTCCCCGGCAAGGGCACAGTCAAGGGCATGTACCTGGGTTGCAGGTCCCATCCCCCACCCAATCTGAGCGCAAGTGGGAGGCAACCAATGGATGTGTCTCAGTTGAATTGATATCTCTCTCTCTCTCTCTCTCTCTCTCTCTCTCTCTCTCTCTCTCTCTCTCCCCCCCCCCCTCCTTCTCTATCTACCCCTCCGTTTTAAAAAAAAATTGGACCACCTAACTTTAGAATTGGTAATTTACACTTTCTATTTTAACCCGGATCGCATTTTTTTCTTTCCTCCCCGCCCCCACGCCCTCTTAACGACAAGCTACTTGTTTCTTTTTGGGACCTAATGGAAAGAAAACAGCGGTTTTGTGAAAGACAAAACCAAAAAGCAAATACATTTATACTCTGTACTCTAGAGATTATCTGAAGGACTAGGAAGAGGGGGTAATTACAACATGAAAAAAAAAAAAAACAGGATCTTGAGGTACATTCTTAAAGGCTTGCAAGGGAAAATGGGGGATAAAAAAAAATGTCAAGGTAAAAAACCTAATTAAGGTTGGGGAAGCAGAAAGAGACGTTACTAAGATGTGACTACGAGGAATTAAAATCAAAATGATGAAAGATTAGGCATGGGAAGGAGTGGAGGCAAACCTAAGTGACACCTCCCTCCTCTGGGGAGGAGTTTGGACCTAACCTCCACGCGCAGGTCTCCATTCAGCCCTCTGGCCCGCTCTTCTCCACCCAACAACTGGCGGGGTTTTGCTAGAGCAGAATGTTGTTTACGTTGGGCTCCGTTCAGCAAACCTCTGCTTTTAGGCAAAACGGAAAAAAGGGGGGTGTGGAGCGACCTTGGCATCCTCCCCCCGCTTCCCCGTCAGAGGTTCCGATGCTAACAAGCTCCCTAACCCCCATTACGTAACGCGGGCGGCGGGGGTCTCACCTTGCCGCCGTTGCTGAAGCGGTGGATGTGCGCGGTGGCGATGCCGGGGATGAGCAGGCACACGCCCATGACCGCGAGCCCGGGCAGAATCTCGAACCACATCGCGGCAAGGTTGGCAAGGCCAGAAAAATACCTCCAGGACCTTAACAGTGACCCACTCCGATCCTTTCCCACTGCGCCCCGCGGCTGGGCGGAGTCACGCACGCGGAGGGAACGACGGTGGCCCGCAGGGTTCTAAAGGGGCGCATTCGCGTACCCGAGCGCTGCCCCTGCCCTGGCGCACTTCGCTCCGGGTGCTCCGCGAAGCATCTGTTTCGGAGCTCGGGGGCTGCACGATGGCAGATCAAATCTCCCCTGAGAAGGCGAAGGGCAAGGTGTGCACCTTCCTGTTCAAAAAGCCTGCACGAAAGGGGCCTGTAGGCCGCAGGAAGCGCCCGATCGGCGAGCCAGAGCCCGGAGACAGCAGCAGCAGCAGCAGCGATGAAGGCAGCACCGTGGTTCGCCGCGAAAAGAAGCGGGCGACCCACAATCCGATGATACAGAAGACCCGCGGCAGTGGCAAGCAGAAGGTGGTTTACTGTGAATTGAGTAGCGAGGAGGAGGGGGAGGGGAAGGGGAATGAGGCTGAGACTCTCCGTGTGGTCTACAAGTCCACCCGCTCGGCGAAACCCGTGGGGCCAGAGGATATGGGGGCGACTGCTGTCTACGAGCTGGACACAGAAAAGGAGCGTGACGCACAAGCCATCTTTGAGCGCAGCCAGAAGATCCAGGAGGAGCTGAGGGGCAAGGAAGATGACAAGATCTATCGGGGAATCAATAACTATCAGAAATTCATGAAACCCAAGGATACGTCCATGGGCAATGCTTCCTCCGGAATGGTGCGGAAGGGCCCCATCCGAGCTCCCGAGCACCTACGTGCCACCGTGCGCTGGGATTACCAGCCCGACATCTGTAAGGACTATAAGGAGACTGGTTTTTGCGGCTTCGGAGACAGCTGCAAATTCCTCCATGACCGATCAGATTACAAGCACGGGTGGCAGATCGAACGTGAGCTTGATGAGGGTCGCTATGGTGTCTATGAAGATGAAAATTATGAAGTGGGAAGCGATGGTGAGGAAATACCATTCAAATGTTTCATCTGTCGCCAGTCCTTCAAAAACCCAGTCGTCACCAAGTGCAGGCATTATTTCTGCGAGAGCTGTGCACTGCAGCATTTCCGCACGACCCCGCGCTGCTACGTCTGTGACCAGCAGACCAATGGCGTCTTCAATCCAGCGAAAGAATTAATTGCTAAACTGGAAAAGCATCAGGATGCAGAAGAGGATGGTACTTATGACTTTCCAGAAAACCCCGATTCGGGTCCAATTCCCATTACTTAGTTTTCCCCTTATTTTCCAATTTAAAAATAAAAATGTTGGAAATATTAATTCGTATCCTTTCTTTGTAGGGAAAATAACGGAGGAAAAGGCAGGTGATGAAGAAGATTCCTGGACAGATGGCTTGTGAAAGCATCAAGGTAGGTATAATGTGTATTTTTACCTAGTATAAACGCTGCCTGTGTGTAACTTTTCAAAACTCTTTGGAATAAATTACAAGGATGGGAGAAATTCGAGGAAAGAGCTAGAATTTGCTTGAAATAACCCAAACTGTGGTGAAAGGAAGAACTGAATCTATTTATTATATCACATTTCTGTATCACTTAATGGTTTGCAAAAGTACTCTCATGCATTATTTCTATTGGGAGCCTGTGCCGTAATACTCCCCAGCCAGGGTATGGGGGGGGGGGGTGAGTGGGAGAATTGGGTTGGGGGACTGACAAGTGGCTAGCACCACAGAATGCATGTATGGGAAATGGCCCTTGCTCTCTTTGAAGCATCTATACCAACCACCCCTTCCATGGATAATTGAAATGATCTATGCTGTGCTGTCCAATATAGCTGCTGGCTTCTGTGGCTGTTGAGCACTTAAAATGTGGCTGTTGGCCACCATAGTGGACATTGCAGTTGTAGACTGAACTTGGGCACCTGCAGAGGACAAAAATCTAGTATTTTATAATGCATTGTCTGAAACTGTATAGTCACAGACCCTGTAATATCACCCCTATTAAAGTTAATCTAGATGCCTGTCTTCCCAACTAATTTGTGAACTCCTGTAACTAGCCCAGTGCTTGACATATAATAAGCCCTTAATAAGGAAACACAGAGAGGTTTCAAGAGGGAAATTGGGGCCAAATCCTTGAATCCAAGTTGAGAAGCTTGACTATATATTCTGTTGGTAATGGGGAGAGAGAGTTTTGGGGAAGGGAACAAAATCAGACTTTTAAAAAAAATTTGTTACAGACTATCAGATAGATGGCAGGGAGATAGATGACAAGAGGTAGGGAAGCCAGTTAGGCCAAATGATTAGTAAATTTTTATTGATCTGGTTAGAATTTGAGCTGATCCCAGGAAAGAAATGCAAGAATAAATTGTGGTTAGGATTTTTAAATTCACATCATTAATCCATTTAAAGATATTCTTTGAGCAGTTATTCTGTGTCAGGGTAAGGGATATTAGCAAATAATGGACAGAGTCCCTGTATTCACAGAGCCAGACATCAGTGGCAGGTGTGATGAGTACAAGAAAAAAAAGTGCACCGAAGCCGGTTTGGCTCAGTGGTAGAGCGTCGGTCTGCGGACTGTAGGGTCCCGGGTTTGATTCCGGTCAAGGGCATGTACATTGGTTGCGGGCACATCCCCGGTAGGGTGTGTGCAGGAAGCAGCTGGTCGATGTTTCTCTCTCATCGACGTTTCTAGCTCTCTATCTCTCTCCCTTCCTTTCTGTAAAAAATCAATAAAATATATAAAAAAAGAAAAAAAGTGCACTGGGTTACTCTCTCAGGATAAACCCAGTCCCAGCTTTGGAGAAGTTCAGAAACATAAACTCACAATGTGAAACTTTATTTTTGTTTATTTGCATTCCCATAAAAAAATTAAATTCATCATATCAACTACTGCAAAAACATGCTGGAATTTTTATTGGATTGCATTGAAATAAAAAGTTGGAGTAAACAGATCTCTTATACACACATAACTGCATTCTGTTAGTAAAATTGCAGCATTAACATTGGTACAATGCTGTTAATTAATTTACAGACCTTATTCAAATTTCATCAATTGCTCTACTAATGTCCTTGTTCTGGACCACAATGCCATCCAGGGTCACACTTTGCAGTTCATTGTGATGTCTCTCTTATTCTGGAAGAACTCTCAGTCTTTCTTTTGTCATTCATGACCTTGACACATCTGAAGAGTACTGGCCAGTTATTTTGTAGCTACCTCCAAATTTTGGTTTGTCTGATGTTTCCTTATTATTAAATTTAAATTATTCATTTTTAGAAGAAAAACCACAGGAGAGATGCTATACACTTCTCAGTGTATTAATGTGAAACATTGTATAACAGTATATAAAATATAGTGGAGATGCCTTAGATACTTGAGAAGCCTTCTAGGAAAAGGGCTTAAGAAAGCATCACACAGGCCCTAGCTTGTTTTGCTCAGTGGATAGAACATCAGCCTGCGGACTGAAGGATTCGGATTTGATTCTGGTCAAGGGTACATGTCTGGGTTTTGGGCTCGATCCCCAGTAGGGGGCATCCAGGAGGCAGCCGATCACTGATTCTCATCATCTCTCTCTCTCTCTCTCTCTCTCTCTCTCTCTCTCCCTCCCTCCCTCCCTCCCTCCCTCCCTCCCTCCCTCCCTCCCTCCCTCCCTCTCTTTCTCTCTCTCTTCCTCTCTGAAGTCAATTATTTTTTTAATAAAGAAAGCAAAATAAGCCAGTCAGAGAAAGGCAGGTATCATATGATCTCACTCACATGTGGAATCTAATGAACCAAAATAACTGATGAACAAAATAGAGCTAGAGACATAAGCATAGAACAGACTGATGGATCTCAGAGGGAAGGTAGGGATAGAGGGTTTGTGGAAAGAGCTTAACCAGGCAACTTATGTGCTTACATGCACAACCTAGGGACACAGACAATAGTGGGGAAGGCCTGAGCAGGGCAGGGAGGGCCTGGAGGGGGCCAATGGGAGCAAAAGGGGGACATTGGTAATACTTTCAACAATAAAGATAAATTAAAAAATAAAAAGAAGGGCCTGACTGGTGTGGCTCAGTGGTTGAACATCAACCTATGAACCAGAAGGTCGTGGTTTCATTTCCAGGTCAGGGCACATGCCTAGATTGCAGGCTCAATTCCCAGTGGGGAGCGTGCAGGAAGCAGCTAATAAGTGATTCCCTCTCATCATTGATGTTTCTATCTCTAGCTCCCTCTCCCTTCCTCTGTGAAATCAATAAAAATATTTTTTAAATAATAATAATTAAAAGAAAGGCCCTTGGCACTTAGGAGAGGGAAAGGCAAAGGTAAACTAATTGCCTGGGGGGAGAAAAGGGGAACGGAAAGGCCAGGTCCTGCTCCCCAGAGCAAGAGCACACAAGAAGTTAAAGAGATGAGAGAAGCCAAAACCGGTTTGGCTCAGTGGATAGATAGTCAGCTTGCGGACTGAAAGGTCCCAGGTTCGATTCCGGTCAAGTGCATGTACCGTGGTTGCGGGCACATCCCCAGTAGGGAGTGTGCAAGAGGCAGCTGATCAATGATTCTCTCTCATCGATGTTTCTAACTATCCCTCTCTCTTCCTCTCTGTAAAAAATCATTAAATTTTTTTTTTTTAAAAAGCTGAGAGAAGAGGAGAAAGATAACATTTGTCTACTATTTCACATGTTTTTTTTTAATACCTGTCTGTGAATCTTAAGAGAATATTCAAAATATACGCAAATAAACATTATTCTTAGAATCCATAGCATTCAGCAGATTTTTTTTTTAAATATATTTTTATTGATTTTTCACAGAGAGGAAGAGAGGGATAGAGAGCTAGAAACGTCGATGAGAGAGAATCATCGACCAGCTGCCTCTTGCACACCCCCTACTGGGGATGTGCCCGCAACCAAGGTACATGCCCTTGACCGGAATCGAACCCGGGACCTTTCAGTCCACAGACCGACGCTCTACCACTGAGCCAAACCGGTGCCGGCTCAGCAGATTTTTTTTTTTAAAGTATAGTTTTTGTGTGTGTTTTTTTTTGTTTTTTTTTTAATATTTTAACCCTAGCTAGTTTGGCTCAGCTGATAGACCGTCAGCCTGTAGAATAAAGGGTCCTAGGTTGCAGGCTTGATCCCCAGTAGGGGGCATACAGGAGACAGCCAATCAGTCATTCTCTCTTATCATTGATGTTTCTATCTCTCACTTCTCCCTCCCTCTCTGAAATCAATAAAATTGTATTTAAAAATATAATTTGATCAGCTGCCTCCTGCATGCCCCACGGGATATCAAGCATGTGCCCTGAAGTGGAATCAAACCATGACCTCCTGGTTCATAAATCAGCAGTGAACCACTGAGCCACACTGGCCAGGCAGCAGATCCTTAAAGGGATAATAACACTACAAAAGTACATAAATCAATGGTGTACTCAAGATATTTTTCATGCTTACAAAAAAAAGTATGCCAGGAGAGATGAGATTGCAGTTGGGCTCTGAAAGAGCTAACCTAGTCTGAAGTCAGAGGAGTCTGCCATAGGAAATGACTCTGGTGGGAAAGAGAATATCCCAGGCAGAGAGTTAAGTATATCCCAGTGACCTGAAGTACGAGACTGGTTTCAGCTCAGAACTCAAAACAATCCAGGGTGGTTAAAGGAAAAAGGCAAAGTGGCCAGGTAGTCAGGGCCAAAGAACAGACACCTTGCAAGTCATGTTAAGGTCTTTGAAGGGCAAAAGGGTGCCTTCAAAGGGTTTTAAGAAAGAAAGTGGAATGATCAGATTTGAATTGTATAAAGATAATTTTTTGGTGTGGGAAATGAATTGAAGAAACCAGACATGAAATAGGGAGATGGGTTAGGTTGGTACACTAGTCCAGATGACATGATGTTAAACAAACTAGAATCTGTGGATATTTAATAGCTTTGAGCAACCACTGTATGGGCAGGTACTAAATGATTTAAACACTGCAGATAGAGCCGTAACAAAAGCCCTCAAGTTCCTCCTCTCATAGAAGTTACATGAGAGACAGTAACAGATTTAAACATACACATACATAATATTAAATTGACATAAATACTATGAAAAATAATAAAGCAATGAAGGGAGATAAGAGTGCAGTGGTGTGGAGAATGTTATTTTATTTAGAACTAGAGGCCCGGTGCATGAAATTTGTGCAGGGGGGGTGTCCCTCAGCCCAGCCTGCACCCTCTCCAATCTGGAATCCCTCTCACAATCCAGGACTGCTGGTTCCCAACTGCTCGCCTGCCTGCCAGCCTGATTGATGTCTAACTGCTCCTATGCCAGCCTGTTTGCCCCCAACTTCCCTCCTCTGCCAACTTGGTCACCCCTAACTGCCCTCCCCTACTGGGTTTATTGCCCCCAACTGCCCTCCCTTGCAAGCCTGGTCTCTCTCCACTGCCCTCTCTTGCAGGCCT